CTAATATGCATTCACGGTCGAAATATTTGCTGTACTTGTAGTAAGCGCAGCGGAATTCATGATATCCCACTTAAAGTAATCATTCTGATTTGGTTTATTTTATTTAGCTGGGCCTGTGAAACCATGGGGTCAGTTTGAGTCAAAATCTGGTAGGGTAGCTTCATCACTGAACAACATACAGGAGCACCGTCACATGTCATGTAGAACAATCACGGTTAAGGTTTGCCCAAAGACACAACGATATCACAGACCTGTCCGTGATAATTGAATTGTTGAGATGTCATTGTGAGCAGAAATCAACAGCTGAAAACGAGAGAACATTAAAAAAAATAATAATAAAGAAATGTAATTAGCTATTGAAGTCGAAGGTTTTGTTTTGCAAGACAGAAAACCGGTACTATATTTAATGAAACCAGAACAAAAGGTTACAAAGTGAATACAAAAAAAATAAAAACTATAGGATCAGAATACCTGCGTCGTATCAAAATAACGCCTCGTCATCAAAGTGAGAGCAAGGGCAGTTATAACCAACACACAAGATACAGAGATAAACGTGATCAGGGGGACAACATCTGACCATATCAGGAAATACAGTTCGTATTTGACTATACTGTACCTAGTTATAAATTTATATTTAAAGGTGATATTAATTCTTTGGTACAATCGTCACGATTGCAAGTGGTAGACACTGCTAGTGGATTTTTTGTACCCGATGTTTGCTGTAACTTGTATGCAAACGTTCAATCGACATTTACGAATCTAACTTTATTTTAGGGTAAGTGCACCTCCGATCTGGTTTTGGACATTTATTTCCAACAAATTTCGATTATCTTTCGTCGTCTCCTTTGTTTAATGAGGCAGGCCTTTCGCATATCACTGAGGAGTCCTATAAGCACAAACCGGTTGTATGGTGCTGTTAAATCTATTATTAGATATGCTGCAACTAGTTTTAATTTCTAATCTTACACTTGGTCGTTTGTTTAATGTTTTCAATATTGCTATAATAGTAATACTTGTCCATAGTCATGAACAATGTTATCAATGATTCTCAAATAAATAAATAAATAAAAATAAATAAATATAAATAAATAAATAGATAAAAAAATTTTGGGTGAGTCTTTTTTTCGTACTAACTCTGGAATATTAATCTGGAGAAGAAGACCTGAAGTTCATGTGTTGTTATAAATGTGTTCACTACAATGTGTGGCAGTATGATTTCTCCAAGAAGAAAATATACAGGTAAACAACGACCTGATAAGTTATATATTTGTTATCGATACACTTGTCAGAAGTCATCTTAAGCATAAAGGGAAAGTTCTAAACATTTGTATACAATAACGTCGTTTCTGAAAAAAAAAACAAAGACATATCAACAGAATGTGAACCCGAAGTCAATTTCTATGAAACTATGATCAAATATGAACTACAGAAATATTTATAGGGAGGCACAGTAAAGATGTACACGAACAATACAACCAAATGTTCCTGAAGGGAATCATCTGTTGCCTCTTGGACAAAACCCGCGATGTAAACCTTGGTCATTCTCAGTAGGTATTGTTACGTTCACGTCATTTTCATGAAAAAATTGACAGGTCAAAATATGTCAAAAAGGAATCAAGGACAAGTGTTTGACACCACATTTCGAACTCAACATTTAAAGATAGATATATATCAGGCTACCATAGACACAGAACGATTAGTCATGGGGACATTTGATTACCAGCTGTTGTCGAAAACACAATATGAAAATGTTTCTATAGATGCCCATGTAACAGATCGTCACAGATGGATGCGATAGGAAAATTCATTGACACACACACACACACACACACACACACACACACACACACACACACACACACACACACACACACACACACACACACACACACACACACACACACACACACACACACACACACACACACACACACACACACACACACACACACACACACACACACACACAGATATATATATATAAGTATGTATGTATATATGGACGAGATTCTGTGGAAGAGTTAACTGATCTGGGGCCTATTCAACCATATTCAAAATGATATTTACATTAACATGATTTCTATCAAAAATACTTTTTATTCTATTTATAGATACATTCATTCACCCCATAACAACAAAATGTCTTATTTTAATCAACAATTGCTTATGTAGAGTGGAACTGAGATGTATCCGATAAACTCTTTTCCTCGGAGAGTGACACTGAATGTGTCTTTTTTTCTGCGATCACATATATGCTCAATGGCCAGCGTGCACAACGTACCGACATTACTATGAAACAGTTTTGATATTTGAATCGTTTTCTTTCATACAGTTTTTTGTCCTTATATTTGGTTTAGGTTATATGTATGTGATATACCTTATGCAATATTTTGTCTTATTTTGTGTGTTATGAAAGGGGCAGATTGACTCGAAAATTTGAAAATTCACTTGTTCGTACTGTCATCATTAATAAGTTGATTATATATATAATATATATATAACAGGTAGCCGTAAGCACATAGAGAAAAAACCAAGAAATAATAAAAATGCCACCGTACACATCTATAGGAAAAGTCGTGGTAGAAACTAGGTGAAGAAATAATGATTATTATGCTGATAAAGAAATGTTTTCATAGATATTGTTATCATGTTGGTAAGTAGCTGTAGTTTGCATCGTGATAATTATATTCATCGTAAACCCATAGTTGTATTTGGCAGATATGAAAGATGCTGTAATAGTCATCAAGAAAAGAACTCTCGAAAAAGATGACAAAGAAATCGTCTCATGATTAAATCGCACACCAACTGTGTTCAATGTTCCTTGGCGAGATATATACCGGGTTTTTTTTGTTCAATTCAAGTTTAGAATTAGACATATTATAGACAGATAAATCTTTCTAGGGCTCATTTGTGACTAGAAAGTGACGGAGGAATATTAAGTTTTGCCAGTATATAGAAATCTAAAGACTTGTAATCATCGGGGTAGTTATAACCTTCAACTGTATGCAATAAAATATGTAATACATGAATATATACATTAAGAAGCAATTGACGAGTCTAAAGAGCAATTTCTCTTCAGATGTTTGATGATTCAGTTCGTTTCAGTCTTCATAATGATCCAGTATGTTTCTGTCATATTAAAACTTGTTCGCATTATTGCAATTTTTATTCTACAGGTAGTGTTTTATCTGTTTGAATTAATTATAACACATTATTATTCTCCTACTTCTCACATATATCCCAATTTGTATGTCGGTCTTCCACGTGTCAGATTATCGTCACCTACATGTCAATCACATGAATATGAAAGGGTATTGACTACTTGACATACGTAAGAATGCTTAAATATACTTTATTTCGCCAATGAACAAAACCAGTCTGGTGATTGCTCACAAACTGATCACACAAAATTGCACTACACTATCAATTTTGAGAAGTAATTGAGAGTCTCTGTTTCTGAAAATAAGTAAATTAAAGTCTGGTTTTGTTAATGTTATGCTGACAATCCTTTTAACAAGGTGTCTCTACATTTACGTCGGAATATTGAACATAAATCAAGGATGCAGATGGATCCGTTGAAGGACACATCTGTCTACAATGAAACACAAAAAGACAAAAGTTCAAACACAAAGGATTACATCGGATAGAAGTTTATTCATTGATAACTACATCAAGAGCAGGGTTCAATGAAAAATGAAACACAATATAGTCACCAATGGTTTTAATCTACGCCATGTTTTCATCGTTAAGATTCAACTTTTCAAAGATATTTAACAAGAATAAATTTATATTTTACAGTATCTACCGATGATAACCATCGATATATATTTTTGTTTTTTTCTTTCATGAAATATATATATATATTATATAGGTATAAAAAAAAACAAAAAAAAGTTGTCTACTGTCCATTTGTAACAACGAAACAAACCCCATCAAGTATCAGGTGCATACATCATGTTTTTACCAGGTTTTGTTGGAATAAAATAAATTATTTTCAGTGTTGTGAATTTTTTCATAAATCTTTAATTGCATTTCTTATGATACTTGCAAGACAAAAATATTCAAATCAATTAATAGTATTTTTCAATATAGAATAACGTTATTAATTTGATATTTCTGCTATAACTTTAAGTTGAATTATGATTTCATTCTTTATTTTCTTAACCAACAGGAAACTGCGACACAGCAAAAGGAAAAGCGATCTCTTCTTGAGATACGGATTCTAGGGATGCCGGTAACCTTTTTGGTAAAAAGAACAGATAACATATATTGAACGATTTCATTTTCAAACACAATCATACTTTAATGTGTAATGACAAAAACGTGAAACACTAAATTGTGAAACATAGGCTTTGAAGAGAAAAAAAGGACATTGCACTATCTTTGTGATTGGGGCCTGTAATGAACCCCGGTATTCGAGGATAATGGTATATATACAAAACACACAACAGTGCGGACAGACGGACAATATATCACGACACGTGCTTTCTACGATATTTCAACTTAACGATAAATAAATAGTATTCCCATTTGTATGTTTCCTGTGGTGCAGCTTCGTATTCTTTATTACGTAATGACGTTGCTTTTGACGTCATCAGGTTGCATTATCAAAAGACACACATTTCTATGGTAAAGTTAACAGTTAAAAACTGTTGTTGTTTCATGAATATAATAAATAATGCCGAGGAATAAAATGTTCTCCAATTTGATTTCTTCTGGAATGGGGCAAACGTCCAACCAAGGCCCAGGGTATGGCCAGGTGTCCATTCTTAAACAGTGTTACAAATCAACGACGAAATGGCTTCATTTGATATGCAGTTTCACTGAAGAGCTCTATATGCAAATTAGCTGCCCTTCCTGTGGCGTAACCGTTTATCAGACATGTTAAATGATTATCCTGACCAACGGGATATATTCCAGGAAACTACTTTAGTACTGACAGTCATAAGAAAATACTAATCTGCCACACTCACTGTTAAATGTTTTAACAAAGTCTGTCACACAGCTTGTGCACTTATAAATAATGTTGATAACAATCACTTTACACACAAATTGTCAATCTTGGAATGACGTTGGTTGAAGGTAAAAAAAATGTTCATGTATATATATCAAAACGGATGTGACGTCATCACCAGGCTTCCGTCATTTCCTGTGGAGGATGAGACAGTGAGGTAAAAGAGTTAGCAAGGGACCTTGGCGGACCCCCGGGTCCGAAAGGGCTTTCGTGACTGTGGAGTACCAGAGAATCAGGGGATCCTGATGAGGGCATCATATCACTTGGCATGAATTGACTTTCTGGAACCATGTTTCCTGAAACAAAAAAGAACATCATATATATTTTAAACAAACAGAATCATCAATATATTTCATATGTAGGTTTGATATAACCTCAATAGTCAAATATCAGAGACTGAATCGATCAGGATTTAATGTTTTCTTATGTAAGTTGTAAACATACGGTATTGAGTAGGAAATGTTCATATCAATACCAACTACACAACTTTTATAAAGAATAAGGACAGACGAATTAGGGCGTAAACTTTTAATACACTACAGATCAGTTGGTGTGTCGGGAACACCTGGAAGTACTTAAGAAAATAGAAAGAAACTACATGAGGACAAAGGTTTCGTTGTAATGTTCGAACCCAGTGTGAGTTTTGTGTACGGACTTTCCAACTGTTTTCTATACATCCGCTTTAGAAATATATATATTGTGTTGAATAATATTTTTGTTTTTTTATAGCATAACCTATAATGAAATATTCTAGATCGATAATTTTTTTAATATTTCAACCTAAAATTGAAAATGTTGGAAAATAACAACCTAGAAAAAATACTTGTAAACATATGTAGTTCTACCTGTTCTGTTTGTAGGAATACAATTCTATTTTGTATTGATCAGTGTCACGTTAATGTTTGTGCGCACCAACACACAATAATAAAGTAAACCATCCCTGTTCGTACGTTAACATGTCACCTTCTACTGTTTATTAACTACTGAAATGTGTCCGATACCTCTTCGCTTCATTTATCCCCCGTCCACGCCATTTCACGTGCATAAATAAGCGGGTACAATGGCCCACGTGTCGCCGTTCGAACACGAGTGAATTGTTGTTGCATCTGCTAACGGTAATCACTAGTTCATACACTTCTGTATCGACCTATCGACTGTAGTGAACGCCAGCACAAGGTGGCGTACGCTAGCCCACCCCATGAATATCGACATACAATGTTAGAATTTCTGAAAAATATATTTGAATAGTTTAGACTGAGCTTCTATTCGGGCAAGAGATGTTTATTAATGCTAGTTGATTTATCATATACTCCTAGCTGATGTAAATAGTTAGAAAAAAAAATGCGACTATCGTTAATAGCATTATCTAACATCTTCAGCCGGTGCGGTAATTTATGATGTTTAAGTCAAAATAAAATAATAATTTTGTTTGTATGGTAGTATGGTTATAATAACAAAGAAAGAAACAGCAAATTGAGTTGATATAAAACATATATACATTTCTTTATTGCACGAGTTAAAGAACGCGGCCAATTAGCTTTGCATCTTTATAATTTCTGGGTATCGCACATTGTTGTCATTTGAAAAAGAGGATAGGGAAGTTAACTGTTTTGGAGGATCTCTGAATCCGTGATACTTGTTTTAACCCTAATGTCACGTTTAACATCTCATGATACAAAGATGATTCAAAACTTTTTCACTTTTCAGACAAAAGTTGTATTACCTATCTACATTTCTTGCAAAACACGTGTAATATCAATAAATTGTCTTAGAAAGAACATCAGTCCTTTTTTTAATGACTGCTTGTAATTCGATGTTTTGAGAACAAAGTTAATTTACGATCTAGCATATCAGTTTGATTTTTATATCTCAAACGTAGATGTATTCATCAAAATATATTCTACAAAGATAGGAGAGTCATATACTTTGATCGCACATTCAAGGAAATAGATTATATTGGTTCATTCTTACTTCAACTGGCAGTACTACCTTCATTCATATTCGCTTTACTTCTCAGAGCTACCACATCAAATGCTGTATGCATTTACTCTTATTGTTCCCTTCCTTGGCCCCCCCTTCTAATTTCAAAGACGAGCTCGTGCTTCAGTTCTCCATAACTGGTTGGTTTAATGAGATTCTCCAAGATCTCGTGATAGTTGTAAAAGGAAATAGAACAAACCTCGAGAGAAAATATTGTTTCACGATCAATACGCTTCTGCCTTATCTTTCACCACAGACCAGCCCCCTGTACCATTGCGAGCAGACGACAGCCAAACGCGAGCGCCAAAATCCAATTTCCTAATTTAGCTTAAATAAACAGGTCGTTGGCAATGCGCACACAAATAAAAATTAAAGAATGTAATTCCAGTGTATTCTTCAAGGAGCATGCTATCTTTTTCTTCATTAGTCGGTTTAAATGACTATTTGTTTCTCATATATCACATTATAAAATTTCTTGTATTAAACAAGTTGTAAATTTGTCAATTTCCGCACAGCAGTTTGCCCTGTTTTTTAAAAACAATTAATAATACGTTGTGATATTTTACGTACGAAAATTACTTTAATGTTTTGGGTTTTTTTTATTATTTTTTTAATTCGACAATCAGTTATGATTATTATTCTTAATGCTAATATACTAATACACTTTTTAAAAAATGTTTTAGGAAATCTGAATGAAATTTAACAATAAATAATTTTCAACAAACAATAAAATATTTTTGTAAAATTATCAGAATTTAAAGTTATGTATGTGTTTTTAGACATTGTCTATTCGTTTTTTATATTCTGGGTCATTACCTTTTATCCATCTTCTTTGTGTAATTTCAACCACTCATTAAAGTTTTAATAGATATTTTCTGACAAATATTGTACAATTGTGACCGCACCGACTCGCTCACATAGCTGCTCTAAAAAAATGTTTACCTTCAAGTCAATAAAATATTTTGGTAAGCATAATTACGCTTTGTCATAGAAACTAGTCATAATTGATCAACCCCACTTAATTAACCATATATTTTACAAGACCAGGCATATAACAACACCTGCATTGGTCATGGTCTAATAGATGCATTTAATGCCGTTCATGAGGCTATAACGCCACCCTTATCAGCTGGTGCCTGTGACGTTCCCTAACACGGAACAACCAGCTACGAATTCCCAGGTCACTAGGTATTGTTTTCTGGCTAACAAATCGTGACAAGATAAGGTTATTTTATTAGCAAACATCGTTTCAGATGATGAATGATTTAAACACAGTGACAATATGATCATAAGCCCGCAATAACAACATCAACAACATTGATATATTATAGTGAATGAGTAACTGTAGGGAAAATACGGTTCACAGATCAATGAATTTACATTTCATAGTTATCATACTGATACAGATCGGCAATGTGTATTTTCAGCTCTGAAATTCATACTGCATTGTATCATATTTTTAGTCCGTGCTGGTGTGTTTTTAAACATGAACAGTTTTGTTACAATAGTCTTCTCCAGTGGCACAGGCTGCATCTAACACAAAATAAATCAAGATGTTTACTTAGAATAATGCATGAACTTGGAGTTAATGAAATGTTTCGATATGTTTAATGAAAATGCCCCAAAGGCGCTCTGCATTGACAATATCGGTATCGTTGAGAATGGTTGTCGATCGGTTGGTACTTAATATTATCAGATGTGCAGTGAAGCTACATAAAATTTTCCTTTTTATTAACATAAAAAACTATCTGTGTGTTAATATTGTAAAAGTTCGCCATCCTTTATGCCTGAATTATTTATAAAAATATCGTTGTCAAGTTCATAACAAAATTTTTCATCACGTTGGAATAAATATATATTCATGAAAATATTAGTTTCATATACATTTTTTTTTTTTTCAATTTTGTTTTTGTTTGATAAAAACTGTCACAGTATATCAACAAACAAAACATCAATTTTTAGTTATATTTATCTAATAATGATATCTAAATTAGTTGAAATCAATTCCGGGTATGTCATCTCACATACGGGGGCCTTATTTATCTGACTTAGTCTAGCTTATATTCCTATTCATAATTTTATGTTCTTAAAATCTAAGCGATGCGAATCTATATCTGCCCGATAAGTGTGTTTTACCACACCTACGTTCATAATTGTTTCGTTTCATCCATTTTCAAGTGTTGTGTATTTGTATACTATTTAACTTCGTGTCGAATTACACCCTTTTAAATCTTGTTTCGAAATGCTAGCTCCGTTTTCCAGGATTTTTTTCCATTTGAACAATCTTATCCAAAATAAACCGGTTTTTTTTTTCGTTGGAATGATATTTTCGCAAATGTGGTACATTATTCGTCGAAAAATAATTTATTGATTTTAAAAATTAAATCGTGAAAATTTTGACAATTGTAAATAACCTGTTATACGGTATATCGTGTCCCTGATTCTAAAGGAAACAGTAAAAGTTGTTTGAAGATACGCACCATTATGATGTAAAGGCTGGTCAAGGTTAAGAGGCGGTGTGCCTCGCGATGATGGTGGTAGGAAATTGAGATTCCCAGGGCCTCCTGGCTCTCCTTGTCCGGGAAAAAAGTCGCCATAACCTTGGTAACCAGCATAAAAGTCTTGTCCGTTATCTGAAAAAGATAGATTGATAGAGAATAAATTCAGATCATCTAACTTCAGTTTTGAAGTTTTAAATTTTACTAATATAAATAAACATGACTTGATATCAAGTCAGTGGTTACAGTACATGTTTGAAATCTTAATGATTTTTCTAAAAAAAAAAAAAATTGGATCGATAACGACAGTCCATGTTTCAGTTAGTTTTATGTAATTTTTTTGTTTACATTTTGCACTAGATTTTTGGAATTTGAGTTTGGGCTATAATTATGTTTAAATATTGTTATTTTCTTCTTTTGTTTATGAAGACGACCAGTGATTCGTATACATTAATTGTAAAAGGTAGCCATCACTTTTCTTTAGTTTGATAAAAGCACGACCACTGATTCCGTATATATCTATTAATAATTATAACGATTGGGTTTCTTTTCTTCATGTTGTTTAATATCTGTGCTAAGATATGACATATCAGTTACAGTGATATTAATTATTGACCAGTAATTTAGCATGACTGAATACAATAAAAAAAGTTTATTTTTACGATGCAGCTTCAATTGAAGTTGATTTGCATCTCCTGAAAAAAAAACATTTAAATTATCAATATATTAACAGCTTTTGCTTTCCTAATTATCAAACTATGTCATCAGTGTTTTTTTTACGAATATTGCTTTGACAATAACTTGTCATTTTTGTTTTGGTTGAATAAATGATTCCGGAAGTGTTAGATTTGTGTGATAGCGGTTATGTTATCAGGAATTTCCATCATCGCGGAGTGATATTCAAAGGATCGACGAGTCAGTGATGGCGGAACGATAACTTCCGGAAGAGTAATCTCTCATCAGCCCCGCCCTATCTTATCGTGGTTGTGAAGCTGGTGACGACTCGTGTCTATATATACATATGATGACGGCTGTCGAGAGTTCGGAGGGCACCTAAACATGCATGACTACAAACAACCTATATCAGATGAAGCTGGAACGGAATGATTACAGCCCATAATGGATGCATGGCTGGCTTTGACGATTGAGATGTGTCAAAACAGTTATTGTTGTTTGGACGTGCAGTGGCCTGAACACAGTAATCGATGTCCATTTCATTAAATATAGATGTTTTTAATAAAGACTGTCGCAAGTGAGTTCGGACACGACATCACGGATCCCATCTTCATTAGTATTTCTACCCAAATTAAGTAAACAAAATATAACTACCTATGCAATCTTAACCATACGTTATAGTTTACCATTCCAAATTCGTAATCATTACTGCTTTGTTGTCAATTGGGAAGGTAGTCGTGCCTTAAAGTCGACAATAATGTCCTGACCCTGGGTTTGGTGTTAATAAATTTGGAGAACGATGACGATATTCAGTTTCTCTGAATAGTGTAAGCTACTGACTATAGATTAATATAGTTAAGATAAGACTTTAAGTTGCTTTTGTGAACTTCTATCGTTTTAAGAAAAAATTTCATAAAAATGATTGCTGAGTTGATATTGGTTGAACGTAACAAACACAATGTTTGTTCGAAAAGTAAGAAACACATCAGTGATATGAAGTGCGCTACAGTTTAATATTCTGTTTGGTTTTAATTTTCTCGCAGAGGACAATATATTTTGTGTCGATAGTGTTGAAAACTGCTGGTACATTCCTATGTCATGTGACGGTTGTTTTACAGAAAATGTCGTTCCGTGTTCTGCATGCAAACACTCATGTGAAAACGGTTCAAATAAGAAAAAAAATCAATATAATTCCTTATGTTCTTGGTTTTCTATTCATCTTTATCTTTAAATCTGTGATCAGGTTTCTAAGAGTGACGATTCCTACCACACTTAATGTATTTAGCTATCGTCGTTGTATGTTACATGCCGTTTGCAATATAACTCCATTCTTATAAGCAGCTTACTGCCCCTTGGCTCGGCCTATACGGTTAGAGATAAACTGTCATAAAATTGACAAACTGTTCGGGTCTGTCAGCACCCCTTGTTGGTGGTAAGGAGTGGAGTCGGGTTTTACTCGTGGGTACGGCGCACACATGTCATTTATCACTGTCTGAAACGTATACAAGGCGCGTATACAAACCGGAGCGGATCTGAGCAGGAAGGATCCGGAGACGAAAGTTTGGCATTCTTTGATACGCCATCAAATGAGCCATTTGTGCCTCCGACTACATACGAATCAATTGTTTAGAGGTGTAGGGTTTCCGACAGCGAATGAAGATAAATTTTAAGAGTTTAAAAAAATGAAAGGTTCGATCTCGGATTACGTATCCACAGGTGGTAAAAATAATCACACCATGAAAATAATACACTGAGCTACGGTCAAAGGTCAGTTTATACACGTTTTAGAAATTGTGAATGAAGCATTCCTTTAGTTATATTTTGATACAGACATTCCCTGTAATGTGGAGAACTGGTGCGACCTATATTATGACCCACTTCGTCGTGATTTACGATATTAATCAATACCGTCACTTTTCAATATCTACACCCCATCATACATAAACCGAAACGCCGTTGTGATACATCTACAAGTTTGCAATATATAGAGGAAAACGAATTTGAAGTCATTTCTAAAATTGCACAAAGCGGTCTACTGCGCTTTAAAGTCTCTAAAACGTTCAAACTTTCCTAAAAATATCTGGGATTCCATTTAAGAAATAATGGTTCCGAAAACCAAATTTATCTTTAAAGCAAATCACCCCAGACTTTATAACCCTGAAGTAATATCATATATTTTTGCTAAAACAACAAGTTAACTCTTAATAATGAGGTCACGTGATTAATTGTTTCTTAGTCAGGAAATCATCAATTCAATTTTTCCTGTAATTCGTCATTACTTTGTGAGATTATATATTAACGATAAGCATACTACGTGCTAAAACTGTTTCAGATTGATCCTTAATGGTGTTCTTTAATACAATCACGGATAAGTCACTTAACACAGCTTAATCATTAGCGAAAATTATTCATACCAGCAAAGTCAGAACCTTGTATTTTAAAAAAATGTATTATTTTTCTATTAAGAGTCAATTAAATACCGTAAGTAAACACAAATTTTAACCTCGCGCTTTTACAATGAAGAAAATCAATAAAACAACATACGATGAATACCATCGCTAATTATTTATAGACATCACAGTAGAACAATTTATAATAGACAATGTTTAGTACACCATAAAAACACCCGTCTCGTGCAGTGACGATTATTTATGTTTTACGGTCCGATGGGACATGCATCTTTAAAGAAAATCATCGACGGTTTAACCCGGGTGCTTGACTGTCGGTACATTGATGGGGGTTTAAGAACATGCATGTGCGTGTATTACATTGTCTTCGTGTTTTGTTCAAAGCGATTATGTCGCCTTATGTTTTCAAAGTGCTATTTATCTAATCAGAATGCCATCAAAAATTCAAGACTTCCACACCATGTTGGGTCATAAACGAGACATTCTTAAGCTTCATGCTTGCCTAGGTTTTTTGTTCCAAGGTGATTTTTACACACGACAGTCGATATTGACACTCTAGTGGGTGACAGAGAACCAAGTCCGTTATCCTATATACTGATCCAAACTTATCTTTACAGAAAATTTAAAACAAAAAAAAAGAATAAAATATTCGTGTACCATTTTTGTCCACTTGATGTATAATATTGATGATCAGGTTCATTAAATATGCAGCTTTGTCACCACGAACGTTAGATATTATAAGTTATTTATTCCAATACATTAACAATGATCTGCTTATATTCTAAACCAGAGTCTCTTGCATATCATTACAATATGTGAATATTATTATGTTTTCAAAGTCATTGATTTCACTTCCTTGATAAATGTCATGTTTTTTTCGCAAATGTGGGGATATATTATTCAGCTACTACCATACCAGTTTTTCTTATATCAAAATACAATAAATTCCACATTATGTATGCTATATTTAACTATGTAGATAGCATTGTTATGGTCGTTGTTTAAATCATTATTAAAATTTAAAATCAAGATCTCTCATGGGAATCAAATGTATGCATTCCGATGACAAAGTCAGCCCGAACTGAATGGAGAGCTTTCGGAATCTAAATACAACATTGAAATATTTAAATACTTAGGAAAGTTAAATGAATATGAATTTTGAAGTCTACCATATCTAGATTATTTGATAAAAAAAATTTGCTTCATCGATTTGAAAAATATTGTTCTATGTTATTTGCGCAACCGATGATACATTTTGGCTTAAAACAACGCCTGTGTTGTATTTCATATTAACTTTATAAAGTAGAGCATGTCCATGTTGAGGATATATGGTTTTAAAGATCGTACAAACAAGAGGGAAAAGAAGCCAGAGATTAAAAACAACCCACAATTAGGAAAGGCTATCAGTGAATGTCAAGGCTGTCAAATGACGTCATCAACGCTACCGGTGGATGTCTCTCTCAGGGACAAACCAAGATGGCACGAACATACCATGATTGCCGAGTGAAGTTAAAAATGATAACCGAAACAAATGGTATAGTTGATCTAGCCACGAACAGAACATGCCAGGATTACAGACAGTCTTCACAAAGAGGCCAAGGGCACGGGGAATGAATACAAAATCAGGGGCGACCACCGACAATATGAACAGAGGGACGGACGCAGTCTGCAGGGAAGAGAGGATGAATGCAACATTAGACGCCCAAATCCCCGTATACAGACGCTATAGATGCCATACCCCTGGGACCCGCGCGCTCTGCCAGGGCGGGATTAGTGACATTAAAATTCATAGGCTAGCTAATCCTTCGTAATCCCCGTTACTGCGGGGTCCTGCCTTGGCCCAATGAGATACGGAATACGTGATATAAAATCGTTAAGGCAGGCACAAAATGTTTTCTTCTAGACTGGATGGAATCCTATTTATTCATCTTTTTTTTAAAACTCGGCATTGTCTTCCAGTTCCCGGCGTGCGACATATAGAATCCCGCTGGTTTTGGTCCCTAGTGGCCAAGGCGGGTCTCCGCCGAGTGGCATATATTATACCAACGGATATCAAATAATTTTGCATGAGGAGGAAATGTTTTATTTTGTGAGATGATATCAGTAGCAGTGTATGTTCGTGATAGAGAAATCGACAGTAAAATCGCCATTTGCTTTAATACTTCGTTCTTGTTACAGATTAACATTAATTTGTACTTGTTCTGACGATTTTGCAACTGACGGGGAGATACAGAGAGTAAAATTTCCAACTATTAACCACCACCTTGTTTCTTCTGTTGTTGTTTCCCTATCAAAATACACTTGTTACTGGAATATAAGTATCTACACAGTGTTCATTGCAAATGTTACTGCATAGATATGTCGAACTACTGAACAAGGTAGATCTCAAGGCGTACATAAATATGTTTATACATCAGTAATGATGAGTTCTCAGGCCAGGTGTGATATAACAGGTATCTCTGGTGCTGAAGTCTCAGTACCAGCTACTAGCATATATCTCACTAACGTAGAGAGAAACCCACTTCGAGTAAGCGATATGATCCGAATACATCGGAAGGGATAAACAAAATCCTTGTCCATTTGCACGCTAGGTAGTGAGATTTTCAAATGTTACGTAATATAAAAAGGGACAAACTGCATCTAGAAGATTTGAATTTATTGACAGCTTTATAACTTTCCAGCAAATAAGACCATAATTCTATTTCCTATGTGTTATCGCCTTTTGGTGTCGTTAATACCAGATAATCTAAAAAATGGGAGGTTATTGTTAAACAATAATCATGTAAACAGTTAAACAATTTAGGAAAAATTGCCATTGTCAAACACCAGTAGTTGAAGCAGTGTAAACGTTTACCTGAAAAATATCCGAAACCGGGGCCTCCCATCATTTCTGTCTCGTCGAGTTCACTCGGTGACATCCCCGTCCGCAGTGCGCGCATGCGTCGTGGATTCCGGAAAAAATGGCGTCTAGCACCTAGAGCACTTAATTGTTTCATTCTCCTTTCTTTAGACCTTCTGTTCTGGAACCATACCTGAAAAATACAAAATGTTGACCTAATTAATTCAACAAGTAATCGGAGTTTGCTTGTATTCTACATACATTTACATATCAAGAATATGAATGTAAGCTTAGTACAGAAAGGTCAGTAAATGTATAACAGATTTAACAAATATCAATTGTATCAGCTCGTGAGTTTTGACATTTTAATGCAATACCAACGAAGAAACGAACGACGTTGTCGTGTGATATATAAGGTTATATCGATCGTTTATGCTTTTATCTATAAGGTGTGGAGATGAAGATTTCCATTTTTCAATAAACATGAAGTGAACCATTTTTCTGCTGTAACGTTAGTCTTCAGGCTTATTCCTTTACTGAAATTAGAAATGGGCTAAATGTGTTAATGGGATCTGAAACCTCGCGAATATACTTAATATAGATATCATTCCATGTATGATCGCACGATAGATGGAAATACTTGGGATATCTGGCTTAGCTTCAACAAACCCACTATTAAATACAGTAGACGTTATATTTTAAAGATTCAAATTTTCGCGGCTTTACCAAAATTTTAATACGGAAAAACTGACGAAAATCAGATCCCCTCGAAAATGGCATTTTTTACAGTAACATTGAGTACTGCGATCGCCATAATTAGTTAATACTACGGAAAACCTCTATTATATGAAGACGGATGTAGTTACTGATGAAGCTGTTAAAACGTTATGAGTAATCACCATTACTGTTTATGAGTAACCTGACAATGTCAGCAAATTACTGTTTAATCGTTCATTATTAAGTTCGTCTGATCGTTTGTAACGAAATATCGCTGATCCCAAAATGAGTAATGTTTAATTGCATAGTAAGTAATTACTTACTATGCAATTATATATATATATATATATATATATATATAATATCAGCCAGACAATATATCTGTTTCGCTAGTTGAATTATATATTTATATACATATCTATGCCTAAGTTATTATTTCGGCCTCTAGTACATGTCTATATACCAATTCATATGTTCCATGTTATGGTATTGTAACTAAGATTTCCTTTCTGACATAAGACTTTAATTGGTCAAACCAAAAATATTGAAAACAAGGTCTTCAGCCTCACATTGTCCTTCTGTCATTTCATTGCAGCAAGGCAATTACAGGAAAGTAAACTAATGTTTCCTAATTATTGGAATGTTTCAGCTATATAATTATATGTTTTCCACATCAAGAAAAACGACGTACACGCCCACCAAAAACTGAACAAGACACCGATCATACAAATCGCTTGGACTGGTTTCGTCATATCGCAAAACATCTTGGAAACTCTGTGAATTTTCTTTTACAATGAAGTTATCTTGTTTCGGAAACTAAATATGTGATTACCACTCACATTGCAAAACAGCTCAACGACAAGGCTGAACGTTTTTGATTTTATTTTGATAACTTTAGGCGAAAAAGATATTTAGCAGTTACATCAAATTTTTTCTTTAAACTTGAAAGATTGAGAACAAACCGAATGGAAATAAATTTGAAAATAAAATTTATCGGTAAAAAGATTTCCTATTTAGCTTTTGACGCATCATGTGGACAAATAATCTGTTCTACAAGCTCCATTAACGCCTCAAAACCTGCAACTATTTCAGGCCTAATGCACTGCACTTTGATCAAATCCCGGAAAAAAAACTCAAAACACCAAACGATAGGCCTGGAGTCAGCTGTAGGTAAATTGGCATTATGGCGTTAATGGCCTCGTTTTATTGAAATCAGTACATAAACACCTGAAATATGTCCTCTCAAAGCAGGCGGATGGCTGTGGGCAAATCGTTATTACAGTTCTAAGTAAATGTGATCAACGAAAATTCAGACGATGATGGATTCATTCTAAATTGGTTTCAACGTCAGGTGTACTTTAAATCTACAAAAAAATCAAATTATAATTTCACGTGTCGTATGTGTCCAAAAGTACATATGTGTACGTATCAACCAATCAGTGACGACAGAAAGACATATATACGAGCTAAGTGGTACGGATGACACGTCTGTCTCACGTTCAAGTGCTCGTGTCTAGCGAAGAGGATAACGTCGCCCGCTTTAGTAGAAGTGACTGTAAAATATAGGTAGGTCCTTCTGGTCCTTCCTAGGAATTTACCGAGAAAACTGTTCCAAGAGATCGTTATCACGAACCAAATTAGCAGGGGCGTCTCTACAAAATGTCTGTCAAGCTGTCAAAGTCGACAACGCTGTCAACAAAGCATTTTGCATAAATATATCTTTGTATCAGTGCGAGTGTGTTAGATGACATCTATTGTGGACGCTGCTCGTGATGAAAACTTGGATGGAAACGGCTGTTGGCCGATTCTATTCTAGCTCCTGGAAACTCTACAGAACAATTAATAACTCCAACATCACAAGACAGTGGTGCTCATAAAATTGAGTCCCCCATTACCTTCAGTCAATGCTTGGCTGGAACCACCTAACGACACAGCTGGATCTCTACACAAACCGTTCAACCTTTCTAGCTAAAGTCTGCGATCATCCATCCATCTATCTTACAGAATTCAAGCATTCTATTTTACAAAATGCAATTTTTGTTTCATAGATCGAATACAGGTTAGATGTAAAACGTCCATTCAGGACCCAGAATGGCAAACGCGTGCACCTTGTAAAACTCTCATATCTCTATATCAACTTTTCTTTAATTTGAGATGAGACAATGTTATACTTTTTGGTTAGTATCATAATATTGTATAATTGAGCGCTGATATTTATAAAAAAATGTTAATTGACCGATCTTCCGTTCAAAATTTCATAATTACATAGTACTAATTATCCCCGTTGTAGATATTACGACGGACGTCCGAAATTGACCCATTATAAAACTACGCCTCTCTACAGTCGTCATCCTGACTGGCATTTCCTGACTGGGCACTCACTTCATTACAAGCAAGGTACCGGAATTTGTCTGTTTGTTTTTATTGCAAATTGAACCCTTTACTTCGTTAGCTTATGAGATGTTTCATTAGATAAAAACGTCACAATGTTTTGTTTATATCTAGTAATAAAATGAACACACCGGGAATCAAATCTAATAGATTAAACTTAATGTATGTCATGTATCCGATTCGTTGGCAGAAGAGCAAGGAGATGTCAGTTGGTCGACTCATTTGGGAAAAGTGTGATCCCTTTGGGCTTTAGACAGGTGTCAGTTAAAATCATCATTCCGTTGTGTCACTTCATCATTTGACAGATTAATAGAAAGTGATCAGGTTCACACCCTACTAGACAAATGTATACAAAATACAACAATGTTCTACTAGGTATTAGCTATACCTTAATCACTTACAGAGAGGTCAATTACACCCCATCGAGATATTCGGGGTCGTCAATTTCCTCCCCACGGGGGCCTACTTAGCTGACCATTATCGACAGTCTCGGCAGATTTAGTACGTTCGACTTTGACCTAACTGACAGTCGTAATCTCAGGACCATCGATAGTCCTAACAATGACAGTGATCATGGTCCAGTGTCGGTCATTCAGGGTAGTCTACTTGGTTTTGTCCGAGTCTCTCACCCATAAATGGGGATACTGCCAGATCTGGAGTCTTGCTGAGATCAAATGAGATTAAGTTGGAAAAGAAAACACAAAATAATTGTTATTGATAGTTTACTTTCGCTTTAGGGCAGGTGGACTACGTGGGCATAGAATGGGAAATAAAATTCGTGTATATAAGTCATGAAAACAGCCGAGGGTGGACATTCCCTATACAAAGCATTGTTGTGGTTTTCACACTGTCATGCCGAATACCCGGGATTGACAGCCTTAGAATATATTGTAAGCGATCCACTGTTCCAAGTCCAACTGTTATTCTGAGGATTATACAATCAGTGTGGACAAGGCAACTAAGACAGAGCGATTGAAGCAATAAAATCGCACAAATACTTTAATCGACTTTGATCATTGTTTTGTTTATAGTAGGACTTAGCATACAGGTCCAGACCTAAAATCGCCAACAGGTACGTCCTGGAGTTCGTCACGCATCCTTGAATCCACAGGTGTTTGTGGTAAATAAATGTTCGTTGAAGACATTACAATGTTTTTGTTTGTGGTTCTTGTGAAGTACCGAATTTGAATAAAGGTAAAGAAAATGCTTGCTAAAGAATTTCTATATATGTAACTATCAACGTTCGTCTTTCTATGGCTCATGATAGAAACGTTACTTTCAGATACCAATGAACCTTACTGTTTGATATCCAATTGTAGTTTATGTAATTTAAATGAAGTATAAAATCTCGTTTTTGACATTTTAAAACATCACAGGTTTTATTTAGATTTTTTAAAGAATAGCAATGCTTTATGTAAGAGTATCCGCAAGGTGCTTGCCCTTTCGTATTGACGGCTCCAGGGTATTTACAAAGTAAAGGTGACTCAAACATTCGCTAAAAAAGGTAGATTTTAAATTCCTGACAATTAATCAACGTTAAAGTGCAGCAAGTCGAATTTAGTGAATAGCTATGAATCATAACATAGGACATGACAAACATGAAAGCATACACCGGTTACCCCTTCCCCATTGTATCTACATTACTGGCGTCCCAATTAGAAAATCTACGCAATGGGAATTGAATTGCATGCATTTTTACGTCTTTAATCACATTTGATTTGCATTCCAATTTTAATTTTGAAAAATGAAGTCCGATTGTTTTCGGGATCGCGTTTAGCAGCACACCAATAGATTTTGCTAAGGTAAATACTGTTTGATTCTCATGACATTTTGTAATGTTTTTTTTAAAAAAAAAACACTGTTAGTATATGACCTGTATTTATTTAATCCTGGCATTTCGGATATTTGTATGTAAATGACTTTACATAGCTTAGTTATTGGTCACATACAACTCAGTTGCAAGTTTAAATACAAGATAGTTGTTGTCGAAAAAAACATCTCATTTGATCATTTAAAAGAATCACAAATAGGTTATCATTTTATATTCTCGTCAAATTCCCTAAAGACATAAAAAATCCAACTAAC